GCCGATAGTTCCTGCCTTGACAGCTGTCGTCTGCAGCGAGTTACGAGTCGAAATAAATCGGACTAGTCTCCGTTTAAAAGAAAAAAATAGCATTGATAAATAGTTTCAAATTAACGTGATATAGTGTCCGTGAAATATTGCATAAAGTTTCAATCATTTTTTTTTCTTTGCCTTACGATACGCATTTTGTTCGATATTCGAAATAAAACATTATCGAGCGTACCTAGAGAAGAGGAGGCTGGTTCATGTTTTAACGGCTACCTAGAAAGAGTCGTCGACTCGCCGCGAGAATTTTCTATTAAAACATTGTCTATTAAAAACATGCACGTTTGGCTTTTGCTAAGCAATTGGGATTGCAGTGGAACGTTCTCTATGCGCTAGCAATGTCGGAGATCGCACGAGTCAATATATTTTTGTTTCTCCTCAAGAAAGGAAATCTCTCTCTTTCTTGTTTCCAATGTTTCGTTTATTTTATTTATTTTTTCTCCTCGTTCTTCCTCTTTTTATCATTTTATTCCACTTGTTCCATTATATTTGATCATTTTTATCCGTTTATTTTTATCATCTGTAATCCAGATTGACTCGTGCGACGAAACCAATCAGCCATAGGCTAGCCAATTTTTACAAATCTCTCATTCTCCTTATATCTGACTCGTTGTATATTTGTGCTTACTGCAGGCGACGGCTGTTTCTACATCGGGATGGGAGGTAAAAGCGCGAAACCCAAGATTCCCTCCTATGAGCCCTACCAGTGCTGTCCCGCCAAGCTCGACCACAGCACCAAGGTCGCCAAGGTCACCAAAATCAGCCCAATTTTCAAGGACAAGAACAAATTTCAAGGTAGCAGAATGGATAAGCCCCTATTGCCGGGTTTGAAGCCGATAAATAAGCTCACGGCCAAGGAGAGCAAAAAATCAGCGATGATATCGAAAGTCGACAATGATGCAAAAGAGTCCAAGTCCAAGGCCAAAAGGGGATTTTTCGGAAGCGGTAAATATTTCAACTGGCTGCAAAGTTAAATGGCTGCCCATATGTATGTTCAACATCAGCTATTTTGGCAAACTAAATATGTATAAGCATATCTTTTTTCATCAAGGAAAACAAATTTTTACTAATCCGGAAATCGTTACAATGATTTCTTTGGAATAGAAATCGAATAGCAAACGTGCAAATAAATTAACTCGAATTAGAAAGAAAGAATAATCAACGATGAATTGCCTGCTGTGGGCAGTGATTTAACGAGTTGCTTTTTTTCGGGAAAAATATAGTGAACGATGAATATAATAACTGCTTAGCGTAATAAATAAACGGAAAGGAAAAGTGAGCTCGAAGATTTTTTGAGGCCGAGCCATCCGGGCGCGAGAAAGGTTCGCTACAACGGAAATAAGATCACGGTCATCTGACTCTTCGTCCTCGTATCTCGGATGCAGGTACCTCGCGGGTTTCGCGCGGTCCATGAAGAGCGTCACCGACGCACAACTTCCGAACGAGCAAGACGAAGATTTGACACGTGACTTCCACGCGGCTTTGGCACCGGCACCGGCTGGATTCTCCGAGTCTTCGAGTCGTCGGAATAACGGGCACCAAGTCGTTAATCGCGTCGACCGATCCGTTAACTTATTATCGGGTTATTATCGTATCAACTGATCAACCGCAGAGTGTAATTTCTTAATGATTCAACGTGTCGGCGATAAAACTAAGGCAATTTACGAATTACGAGGAGCCACTCTCTCGATGTAACAATTAGCGATTTTACAAAATTATTTATATTTAATTGTCAATAAATAGACTCTTGGATAATCTTTTTCTCGGCGATATGCCAATTCGTAAATCAGCCTAGTTCCTAACGTTCGTAAATTTATAGTTTCGAACTTTACGTTGGCCGATTCAAAATCCGCTTTGAATTCGGACCACGCGTCTCTTCGAACGTACTTCGATCGTCTTTGAAGAGGACAAGAACATATTTAATACATAATGGCGCGAAGGATCATGAGTTTTCTGTCCTCTCACTGAGAGTTGGGTCGGGGTTGTGGGTTGTTGCAGTTGTGGCTGGAATACCGTACCTCATGAAAATCTAAATGGTCGACATCGGCGTCTGGATGTGCAAGGTCGAACTATGAACGGCGATTAGGAAATGAAGAAAGAGGACTCGCAGGACGATGGTCGAACAAGGAAATTCGCGCGACAGAGAATCCGCAGAATGACGGAAGAAGTTACATGATCCGTACTACTATGTGCTAGTAGATCGGACAAGATAAATCGAATTTTGTCGCTGAGCGAGTAAAGATTTTATGTTTCTTAAAGGAACAAAAAATGTTTCGTTGCCATTTAATACCACCTATTGTCGTCATCGTTTATCAATTATCAACAATATTGTCTCATCATCGTCAAACTCATTATTCTTCTCGTCATTATTCTGTGTATCATCGTCAGCGTCATCGCCATCAATATTATATGTCATCTTCATCGTTATAATCGATGTCATCTTTCTTCTCAATGTGTTCATCCGTGTGTAATGCGCAGAAAAATAACCGAACATCTTCAAGCAATTTTAACGTTTCTTTACGTATGTTAAGAAGCCTAGATGTAATGCATCTTACGATCAATGAAAGAACATTACGGAGAAATAATTTGCATCGGCTGTGTATATACGATATTGAAGGAATTCGAGATGAGCAACGTTTGAGAGAGAGAGAGAGAGAGAGAGAGAGAGAGAGAGAGAGAGAGAGAGAGAGAGAGAGAGAGAGAGAGAGAGGAGAGTAGAGTACGTACGTACGTACGT